TTTTATTCAACTTCCATTTGTACCTTTAGTTACTTTAAAAATGTTAATTTATAATTTCAAATATAATCAACAGTTAAATAAGATTTTAGTTAAACCTGGTGTAACATTCACAATCTACCCTGTGGTATACAAAGTAATTACAATTAGCTGCACATTTACCAGCTTTGATAAACACATTAATGCATCCATAATTATAATCAACATATAATATATATTTTTTCTTCAATGGGCCAATCTGCATAAACAGGGATGCAAACTCATCAGGTATGAAAAAGGTGACAAGGATCCGAGCCCCCCGACCCCACGGAATATCGGCTTTAAAATGAGGAATAACAGATGATTTTAGCAGTCAGAACAACTAAAGCAGCAGTGGTAATAATAACAGAAACGCCAAAGAGTCACATCTAATAGAAATATATAAAAGCATTTATTTTAATTGTGTAGCAGTCAGTGTATAATTTTGGCAGCACTGTTGAGCATTTAGAAAATGTATTTTCATGCCTCTGTGCAAGGCTTAGTCTTTCTATCTTTATAGCCACTGGTGTAAAGTAACTAAGTTCATAAACTCAAGTACTATACTTGGGCACAATTTTGAGATACTTGTACTTTATTTAAGTATTTCAATGATTTGCTACTTTGTTCTTCTTCTCCTCTACAGTTCAGAGGTAAATGGTGTACTTTTCCTCCACTACATGTATTGAATACCTTTAGTTACTTTACAGATGTGGATCAATGATGTGAAATATACTCAAGTGTTAAATCAGACTTTAGTTCCACCTGGAGTAAATTCACAAGCTACCCTGCAGTATACAAAGTCATTCAAACTAGCTGCACCTTTACCAGCTTTGAGAACACTTTAATGATCAATCATTATAAAACATATTATATATATTATTCTGAAATGGACCAATCTGCACAATGACTACTTTTACTGTCGCAACTTTAACTATATTTTGATGATAATACTTTTACTTGAGGAACATTTGAATGCAGTACTTTTACTATAACAGAGTATTCCTACACTCTGGTACTTCTACTTTTACTCAAGTACAAGACCTGAGTACTTCTACTTTTACTCAAGTACAAGATCTGAGTACTTCTACTTTTACTGTCGCTACTTTAACTATATTTTGATGATAATACTTTTGTACTTTTATTTGAGGAACATTTTGATTGCAGGATTGTTCCTACACTCTAGTACTTCTACTTTTACTCAAACCTGAGTACTTCTACTTTTACTCAAGTACAAGATCTGAGTACTTCTACTTTTACTCAAGTACAAGATCTGAGTACTTCTACTTTTACTATAGTACAAGATCTGAGTACTTCTACTTTTACTCTAGTACAAGATCTGAGTACTTCTACTTTTACTATAGTACAAGATCTGAGTACTTCTACTTTTACTCTAGTACAAGATCTGAGTACTTCTACTTTTAATCAAGTACAATATCTGAGTGCTTCTACTTTTACTCAAGTACAAGATCTATACTTATACCACCTCCGTTTATAGCCTATGAAAAAAACTAGAACACGAAGGCTAAAGCTAACGTTAGCAGATAGTGACAATGTATGCTAGTTAGCTAGCTCAACGATAATATTGCGACAGAAAAACTTTTCAGTGCACATCACGCTCTGCCGCTCCGACAGGGAGCTCTGCTCTGAACACCTGAACAGCCCGTTCTAACAGCTGTTCACCAGCGGTCCAGTCTGTGCCACAGTGACTCCGGACCACACAGTTAATATTAACGAACGAACCCGCAGGTAATGTAGCTAATGAAGCTAGACGATCATCGCGGAGCAGCAGAGCCTTATTATACATCCATGAGCAGAGCCGACAGGCAGGAAGACTCGAGCACACAGCTCGCGCTTCATTATAATATATAAAAAAAGAACACCATGCGTGTCATGATGGCATAACAGCTCGCGGCCGCAGATTACTCCGGGTCCCAGAACCCCCCCATACCCCGAAAATATTTTTATTGCAGATCTACATGAATCACACAAACAACCTATTTTGGATTCAAAACGGCGAATTTCGCCGAAAGGTGACAAGTTTGCATCCCTGATAAAGAGTACCTTTATTTTAAAGGGGACCTATCATGCAAAATGCACTTTTGTACGTCTTTTATACATGAATATGTGTCCCCGGTGTTCCAGGGAACTCACCAAGTGTCAGAAAACACAACCCTCTCTATTTTCCTCCATACCCAAATCTCTAAAAAAGGGGCTGCAACGGATCTGATAAAAACTGATCCAGATTTGAACACTGTCCTGACGTCAGGACAGTGGCGCTACGGCTATTGGGCCAACTCCACCAATCAGGAGGAGACAGCCACGGCCATTGCCGTTCGAAAGCGCTGAAGACGCTGTAGTACATATGCCAGGCCTGTAGGTGGTGCTGTTCTCACAGAATCAGCCCTTGCAAAAACAGGAGTAAAAAAGTGCAAATTGAGCGAAATGAGGCATGGCTAAAATGCATGATCTGTTTGGTATTTTGAAAAAAAAAAAGTATAAATATGACTTATATAGGTATGGTCCTAAACTATATTATTATAATATAGCATGATAGGTACACTTTAAGTATAATTTGATGCCAATACTTTTGTACTTTCCACAGATGAAATTCTTTTATGGATTTTTTGTCAAAGCACTTAAGATATTCATTGCTATCGGGATGTTAAAGGTAGGGTAGGTAAGTTTGAGAAACCGGCTCGAGATACACTTTTTGTTATATTCCATGGAATGCTCTTAACATCCCGATAGCAATGAATATCTTAAGTGCTTTGACAAAAAATCCATAACAAAATTTCATCTGTGGAAGCCGTAAAAAAAGTACGACCAATCATTTTAGCCGGCCCGGCTAAAATAACTGGATGGCCTACCTGCCTGTCAGCCTTCCATCTGTGCACAAACTTATCTCGTGCCCTCATTGGTCATGTGCACGTTCGTGTGTGTTGGAGGAGGGGCTCTATAAGGAAGTGGCAGATTTTCTCCGGTTGTGTATTTTCAAATTCTAGCGATCTCTAGCCGGTTTCTCAAACTTACCTACCCTACCTTTAAAGTTACAAGTAATGTGACACCAATTTCCTCTCAGGTAAACACCCACAGACCCGCCCATCTAGACTGTGATTGGTTGCAAAATGGAGGCAAAACGCAGTTTCTGCCATCATTACAGCAGAACAACCGGAGGAAGATCCTCGGAGCAACACACTCTTAATGTACAACTCAAAGAAACATAGTGACATCATAAAGTGACCAAAATCTGAAAAAAAGAGAGCTACACAAAGACTCAAAACAACAAATACATTTAAGCTACATCCATATGAGCATTCATTTAGAATACCATTCAACAAGTGAACTTCTAATAGTTAGAAAAGTTATAATACAGTATATAAACGAATTAAGACACAAAGCACATGTTTATATTACAGTTAACACTAACCTTGAGCCTCTTGCTAACACTTCAATGTAAACTTTATCTTTGATATCTCCGTATTTAAATGTTGACATCTCCGTTAAAGGTGGGGTAGGTAAGTTTGAGAAACCGGCTCGAGATACACTTTTTGTTATATTCCATGGAATGCTCTTAACATCCCGATAGCAATGAATATCTTAAGTGCTTTGACAAAAAATCCATAAAAAAATGTCATCTGTGGAAGCCGTGGTACTGTAAAAAGCACGACCAATCATTTTAGCCGGCCCGGCTAAAATAACTGGATGGCCTACCTGCCTGTCAGCCTTCCATCTGTGCACAAACTTATCTCGTGCCCTCATTGGTCATGTGCGCGTTCGTGTGTGTTGGAGGAGGGGCTCTATAAGGAAGTGGCAGATTTTTTCCGGCTGTGTATTTTCAAATTCTAGCGATCTTGAGCTGGTTTCTCCAAAATTACCTACCCCACCTTTAATATCTGTACTTTATCTCCGTTCTTTTTCTCCGTCAAGTTTTTGCTTTGTGAACAGCAACTTCTTGCTAATAGCGCAAAGTCGCCTTCAACATAAAAGCATGTCTAAATAAAACAGGAAGTTACGTTAAGACATGAATACGATTGCAATGAAAGTAACAAAAACAATGCCATCTCCTTTTCAGGTTCAAAGAACAAACATTGGGTTGTTTACATAAACTATTCATATTGCAAATACATGTTTTTACCAGGAAGGGAAGACGGACATGGACATGACCCATGTGATTTGCAATATCGCAATTTATCGTATCGCAATACTTAGCATATCGTAGAATCGCAATACTATCGTATCGTGGCTTAAGTATCGCGATAGTATCGTATCGTGGGGAGCCTGGTGATTCCCACCCCTACTAAGTACAGTACCTTTCTACCTGTGGGGTCAGGGTGAGTTTCTGGGTGGAGTCGATCATGATCTGGGTTTTACCGCTGCCGCTGGAAACCTCTGAACAAACACAAGATTTTGAGAAAAAAGTCAGGATTTTTAGGAAAAAGTCAGTGTTGACTTCCATGTTTGTTGATAACTGTGACGCGGCTCCTCCGTAGTGGCGAAGCAAAGATCGTCTCCGCTGACTTCTGACAAAAGTGGATGAGAGGATATTACATGAATGAATAGTTTTTTTTACCGATGCAAAGACGCTACAATAGATGCATAGCGAGTTCAACCCAAACTGTAGCCGATGTGCACTCTTTCACCCGGTGCACTCGCATTTTTAACGTTTATGCCGTTGCACCGATGCGAATCGGTGAATCTTAATATCCCTAGTGTGCATGTTTCCTGATCATTTTGTTGATATTTGTTAATAAAGTCAAGTAGAAATAAAGCTTTTTTCATGCTATTTTTGGATCTCTTTGGATTTATTTTTTCCAGTTGCTGGGCAGCGAGGAGAATCTCAAAATTGAGATAGGAAAAAAAGGGTCATAATTCCCTTTTTAATATCTATTTTAAACTGCTGTGAGAACATCCCAAGTTTTATCCACCAATTGCAAATAGGACCAACTTATTGAAGCACAGGATTAAAAAAAACAGTCTCTGCTTTTAGAATCTCTTTATTAGTAAAAAATGAGATTGGAGACGATTGAAACCTCTCAACATGATTCAAAGCAAACAGCGTTTCCCAAACTAAACGACATGTCAGATCATTCTCATTTCCAGGATCCTCTTTCCTTGCATGTTCGCCATCACAGTGAGAGGTAGCATGTGGAAAAAGCCTTTGTTGAAATCCTCCACGGTTTTGAAGCCCATTCCCTCAGAAAGGACTCAAGTTGTTCCGTAAACTTCCTGAAAACGACCCTCAAACTGCACCTGCAGGTGAGTGTTTGTCTTGTTGGTGCGGAGTAATCTGATTACTTTAAATCGTCCTCATCTGCATAGGAGCAGCACTCTGATCCTGGACAAAGACACAAATCACAATTATTCTTTATTCTTTTTATTTTCTATTATTTAGTTTTGTTTTGTCCTGTTAGTCTGTACAACACTCTCTTACATTTTGGCTCCATGGCCTGTTTTGGTAATCAGAATCAGAATACCTTTATTCGTCCCACAGAGGAGAAATGTACATAGTTACAGCAGAAAAGACAAAGACAGCTTAATGTTACCTAGAAGCATGCATACAAAGTATTAAAGTAAAACAAAAAGTTATAATAAAAAGTTACACAATTTACAAAATACACATCCTGTAACAGTTCTGAGGATTTAGCAGCCAGGTATATATTAGACAGTTATTAATGGCATATGTGCAATATATATATGTATATTGCACATATTGCACATAGTTGGTTGGTATTTATAGTAGTTATAATTGTGGTTTAAATATTGTACGCCTTCAAGTGAAGCTCTTCTACTGCATGTATGGATTGTCAATTGATGAACAATGGTAGAGACCAGTGGCGGCTGGTGGAAAATATTTTAGGTGGGGCTGTGGAAATGGTGATCAAACGATACTACTAATACTCACATTTTTTGAGAAAAGACCCCTTAAATTATGACTTCTGGTGATGTTAGAGGGGGGGGGGGGGGAAGGACAATTTGAGGCTTACAAATATGAGAAGACTGATCAATACCTCCATAACTTCAGTGTGGTTAGCGATGAATCTTCCAAAACTTCCAAACACCTTGTCCTGGACATAGTTTCTACAGCATAAACTGTGCAACAGTACAGTAGGCCCACACAAACTGCAGAACACCGGGGCTTTGGGAACACTGATTTAATTCCCATTTAACCTGTTATGGGGCTTTTTTCCCCCGTTTTTTTTTCACGAAACTGTGTCTCAGGGCTTCTTAAAATGTAATAAACTATTCATGTGTCCTACTCAGAGGAAACGCATCTAACTGATGATATGAACCATGTTTACCGAAACAAAACACAAGTCTCACAAGAAGCTCTAAATGAGCCCTGAGCGAAAAAATGCTAACGCACTCTAGGTATAAATCAATCGATATACTTATCGGATATGCACACACACAGATTCTAGAAATATAAGTATCATCACTGAGCGATCAGAACTCGCGACAGGGGAAGCAAATACAGACATCACACGACGTAGATTTAGGTAGCAAAACACGGAGATATGCTCACCTTTTGCAGAATAACAATTCTGATCAAAAAACGAGAAAAACGCAGCTGAAGGTTAATCCATAGGTTAATCCAATGTGTCTGTCACTTTGAAAAATGATTGATGATCCATAATTCCATTTTTATGTCAAAAACTGAGTTTTCATTAGCTGCTAATGGTAGCTTCCAGAGTGTATGACAGCTTCCTGTTTTGTCTCCTTGGATACGAGTCCAAACAACTCACAAACTGCACCGGGCGCTCACGTAGGAGCCCTGTGACCATCAGATTTGACGACGCTGATTGGCTGAAATTATGTTTCGGCGGCATAGTTTAAAGATAGCAACAGTTGGCTTCTGCTGCACTTGCTGCCCTCTCGTCTGGGCGCCCAGATGAGAGGGAGTAATGATACACGGACAAGGCCAGGCAGGAAACATGTGACTTATCAGTAACTTTAGACATCGTAACACAATTTTAAACAAGATTTTATTGTAGATTATACATTTTACTGATACCAATTATATAATATTTACCTTGTTTATTAAAAATAAAAATAAAAATAAAAAATATATTTTTTAAATATATATTTTTTTATTTTTAATGTGGGAAGAGGGGGGGCGGCGCCCCTAGCGCCCCTATGGGCCGGCCGCCACTGGTAGAGACTAAGCTGAACACTAGTAGCTTTGAACTATTCAATCTAACCTATCAATGTACCAAATGTATTTTCTATGTGTCTTCAATAAAAATATTAAAAATAAAAATAAAAGACACAAATCAATCACAGTCATACCAACAACCTCTCAGATAAGATAGGATGTTATGTATCCCGAAGGAAATTGTTGTGCCAGCGTTACAAAGATAAAATAAACACAGCAGCATAATAATAAAACTGTACCGGTCAGTAACTAAGTACATTGTGTGTGTGTGTGTGTGTGTGTGTTTACCAGCTGAAGGTTTCTTCTTCTTGGTCGCTGCTCCTGAGTCAGTTTGTTAGCTCTTCGCCACTAAACAAATACATTTTGAAAAGTTTAACGCACTGAAAATGCTAAATATAATAATAATATATGATGTATAATATTTACACTGTGTGTGTGTGTGTGTGTATGTGTGTTTACCAGCTGCAGGTTTCTTCTTCTCAGTCACTGCTCCTGATCCTTTCGTTTGTTTGCTCGTCGTCGCTAAACAAAAACATTTAAAAAAGTTTAACGCCCCGAAAATGATAAATATAATAATAACACGTGAAAAATAATGTATATACTATGCATGTGTGTGTGTGTGTTAATGTTTGTGTGTGTGTGTGTGTGTGTGTGTGTGTGTGTGTGTGTGTGTGTGTGTGTGTGTGTGTGTGTGTGTACCAGCTGCAGGTTTGGTCCCTGTGAAAGTAGAGGCTCTAAATATTCATATCACCTGAACATGATCCCTTTTTAGGAGATCCTTAGAGATGTTCAAGAGTATTGATCCGATTGGTCTAAAATAAGGCCTTAATTAGGGTTAAAAGAGTTAAAGCTCACCTATTATGCTATATTTGAACAATATATTATACATATATATAATATACAAAACTGATTCTGGCCCTTTAAATGTAACCGAGCTGCTGCTGGCCACGCCCCTTTGGATCTGCTGCTGGTCACGCCCCTTTGGAGCTGCTGGCCACGCCCCTTTGGAGAGTCTGCATGCAAGCATTACATTACATTTCATTTAGCTGACGCTTTTATCCAAAGCGACTTACAATAAGTGGATTCGACCAAGAAGATACAAACTTGAAGAAAACAGACTCATATAAGTACATCAGGTTTCATAGAGCCAAAACATTTCAAGTGCTACTCAACTGGCTTTAGATAAGCCAGTCCTTTGTTAGTATATAAGTGCTTTGTTAGTATATAAGTGCTGTATATAAGTTATATATATATTATATATTTATTTTTTTGCAAGCAGTGAGCTCTGTGAAGAGAACGCTGTCTACCAGCAGAAAGTCAGCTAAATGCTGCCGTGAACTCCATATCATGTTCCAAACCACATCAAGGATTATCTCTGAAACAGTATGGAGCTCAAACTCTTTCTCTCTCTCAGGTTTACCACAAGGTGAGTTCCTTTTTATTTCCTGCTTCTTTACACATACTCTCTCCAGTACAGGTTAGCTCTGAGTGTTAGCATGCTAATGTAAACATAGACCATATTACTTCCAGAACACGTCTCATTGTTTCCGATAGCAACGTTTCTGATTGGCCCGTGGGTGTAAAGCCCGCCCACATTTTAGTAATGTAGTCATGACGCAACAAATCTGGATCAGCTCCGTTGTTCCCCCGTCTTTAGAGATGTGGGTACCATAGGCGGCACCAGGGGGTGCTATGGCTATCCTAGGGGGTTCTGCAGCTCCCTCTTGGATAGCCATAGCACCCATGGATGTATAATAAGAACTGGATACAGCGTGGGAGGCGGGGCCTCATTCATTCCTATGAGAGTTGCTCATTCGCGCATGATGATAAAATGGCCCAACTTTTGAGAGAGCGAAACGTCACAGATTACCCGGCATGCGTGAGAAGTACCCGTATGTGCGCTCATAGCGCATGCGCAACTTTAACCATGCCCCCCAAAATGCTCGTTCACATCAAGCACGTCAATTTGCGTACACGCAACAGCACCGCACGTTCATGACAGCATGGTAATGGATTGTTATTATGATAGATTTGATATTAACAAGGTTCAAGGTTCTTTATTGTCAATCTGACATAGCTACAGAGTAATTATGTAGTTGAAAATCTTATGTCACAGGCTTCTCCAACAATGCAACATAATAACATAATAACAATAAGGGCAAGAGCAATACAAAAAGAATAATAGTTATAAAATAGTTATAAAATAAAATAAAGTGATGATGTGAAATAGTGCAGTACGAGTCTATATACAAGTTATTGGAATGATATATATATATATATTAGGTATTAGATACATACTACTGAGTAGCAGATGAATGTTTGAAGTTGTTTCAACAGTTCAATTTTTTAACAGTCTCACTGCCCGCGGGAAGAAACTGTCTCCGAATCTTCTTGTCCTTGCCAGGATGCTGCGGTACCGTCTGCCAGACGGCAACAGAAGAACAGTTTGTGGCTGGGGTGATGGGGGTCTTTGATAATCCGTAGTGATTTCTTCCTGAGCCGCTGGGAGTAAAGGTCCTCCATCGATGGCAGCTCCGTCCTGGTGATGTGCTGTGCAGTTTTCACCACCCTCTGTAAAGCCTTACGATCGAGGTCGGTGCAGCTGCCGTACCAGGCCGTCATGCTGCCAGTCAGGATACTCTCTATCGTGCACCTGTAGAAGTTGCAGAGTATCCTGGAGTCCATTTTGAACCTCCTCAACCTGCGGAGGAAGAAGAGCCGCTGTCGGGCTTTCTTGGTGATGGTGGTGGTGTGAAGAGACCATGTCAGGTCCTCAGTTATGTGGACCCCAAGGAACCTGAAGCTTTTGACTCTCTCCACCGTAGTCCCATTGATGGCGATGGGGGCGTGTCCCTCTCCCTGCTGCTTCCTGTAATCCACAATCAGCTCCTTTGTTTTGCTGATGTTGAGATGGAGGTTGTTATCCTGGCACCAAGATGTCAGGTTTTCGACCTCCTCTCTGTACGCCGTCTCGTCATCGTCTGTGATCTGGCCGATGACGGTCGTGTCATCAGCAAACTTCACGATGGTGTTGGAGCTGTGTGTGGCCACGCAGTCGTGGGTGAACAGGGAGTAGAGGAGAGGGCTGAGCACGCAGCCTTGAGGGGCACCGGTGTTTAGAATCAGGGTGGAGGATGTGATGTTTCCCACCCGCACTGCCTGGGGTCTGCCCGTCAGGAAGTTCAGGATCCAGTCACAGAGGGCGCTGTTGAGCCCGAGGTCTCTGAGCTTGATGGCCAGCTTGGAGGGCACAATGGTGTTGAATGCTGAACTGTAGTCAATGAACAGCATTCTCACATATGTGTTCCTGTTCTTCGGGTCCAGGTGTGAGAGGGCAGTGTGGAGGGTGAGGGCTATGGCGTCGTCTGTGGACCTGTTTGCTCTGTAGGCAAACTGCAGGGGGTCCAGAGATTCAGGGAGGGAGGAGGTGATGAATGATTTGACTAACCGCTCAAAGCACTTCATTATGGTGGAGGTGAGTGCTACTGGGCGGTAGTCGTTGGGGCAGGTGATGATTGTCTTTTTCGGGACAGGAACGATAGTGGAATGTTTGAAGCATGTGGGGACTACAGACTGCAGCAGGGACCTGTTGAAGATGTCTGTGAACACCTCTGCCAGCTGAACTGCACACACCCTGAGAACACAGCCAGGGATGCCATCAGGTCCAGGAGCCTTGTGTGGGTTAACCCTTTTAAAGGGTTTTAAATCTGCCCTATTTAAAACAAAAGGGCAGGGCTCCCGGTCCCTCTGTACCTCCACAGCCCGGCTGCTCTCAAAGCGTGCAAAAAAACTGTTCAGCTCATCTGGGAGAGATGCGCACGCAGACACTCCCGCAGCACCCCCCGCTGCTCCTTTGTAGTCAGTCATTGTCCTTAGTCCCGCCCACATATTCCTAGTGTTACAGCCTTTGAAGTCAGATTCCACCTTCTCTTTGTACTGTCTCTTTGCATTTTTAATTGCTCTCCGGAGATCATACCTTGACTTCCTGTACTCCTCCAAATCTCACGCTCTGTGCGTGGTAGTGCGCGCTTTCAGATTGCAGCGCACATCGGAGTTTATCCAGGGCTTTTGATTTGGGAATGTCCGTACAGAAACCTTCGGTACCACGTCATCGATGCATTTCCCAATGTAGCAGATGACAGTGTCCGTGTGTGTGTTGATGTTATTGTCCTCAAACACACTCCAATCCGTAGATGCAAAGCAATCCTGCAAAGCTGCATCTGACTCCTCGCTCCATCGTTGTACTGTCTTTGTTATCGGTCTGTCCCTTTTAAGTTTCTGCTTGTACGCAGGCAACAACAGTAGTGAGATATGGTCTGATTTGCCGAAGGGAGGGCGAGGGAATAAACATGGTCCAGTATGTTTTCCCCGCGCGTCGGGCAGCTGATGTGTTGGTAATATTTTGGCAAAACCTTCTTCATGTTGGCGGTGTTGAAATCTCCGGCCACAACGAACGCCGCATCTGGCCGTGAAGTCTCGGTTTTATCAATAATCCCAAACAGCTGATCGAGTGCCGTGTTGTTGTCGGCGAGTGGCTGCGGCGGGATATACACTGCTGTTATCACAACAGATGTGAATTCCCTCGGCAGATGGAAGGCCCGACATGAGATCATGAGGTGCTCTAGATGTGCGGAACAGTCCGATGAAATAATCTTCACATCTGAGCACCAGTTGTTGTTAGTCATTACACACACACCGCCTCCCTTACTTTTCCCCGAGTTAGCAGTCCGGTCCTGACGAAAAATAGAGAATCCATCAGGGACAATGGCGGAGTCCGGGATAGCGGGGTTGAGCCAAGTCTCAGTGAGAATTAACACGTTACAGTTCTTAATGTCCCGTTGAAAAGCAATCCGGCTTCTGAGTTCATCTAGCTTATTTTCAATGGATTGAACATTAGCCAGAAGAATACTAGGAAGAGGGGGTCGATTCTCTCGTTTCCTCAGTCTGACCAGCAGCCCGGCCCGGCATCCGCACTTTGTCTTCTTCTTGCGTCTCTCAGGTAGAACAGCAACAGGTAGCCATCGTGAATCTCCATTGTTTGTCGGAGGGTTATTATTGTCCACGAAGTTTCGCAATTGAAGAAGTTCCTCTCTGCTATATTGTATGGCAGAGTAGGTGCGGTCGGCTAGCATGTTGCGAACCATGTTAAAAGTAAAACGGCAAAAGTAAAATAAATATGTACAAAATACGAAAATGGGCAAAGTTGGAGAGGAGCACAAAGACGATGCGGCCATCTTCACCGGCGCATCACAGGCGCAACGAGGCGGCAGTTAGCAGCTAGCGGTTAGCTAGTAATTATGCTAATTTACACATCAATCGTTATGTACTTTTATATTACGCTGTAACAGGATCTAGTGATATCCAAGCAACAGAGCTTCATTTAGCATGAAAGAATTATTGCACCGTATATATATGTATATGTATGTATATATATACATATGTATATACATATATACATATATATACATATACATACATATATATACATATACATATATACATATATATTAGGGCTGTCAGTC